CAAGGCCGAGAGAGATTCTCTCTCAGCAAAAGGGCGAGACTTAAGAGCTATTTAATAAATCATACCTCGACGCAATAAATGCGCTACATATAGTTCAATTAATGTGGTAAAAAAACGGGGAGGGGAGGGGAGGGAGGGAAAGGCGCGAAAGGGAAAAGGGAGAGGATCTCCCTTTTCTTCTTCTCAATCCCCTCTCCCTCTCCATTTCCCCTCCCCTTTGGACGCTTGCCGCGAAGGCTATTAATTGACGTTGAACTGACGAGTCTTATAACTAGAGCTATTACCTTTTACTTTGTAATTACTTTGACTTCGCCAACTGACATATCGTCGGACATATTAGTCAGTTTACAAAACCAAAGTCCTTTAAAGGGGGTTTCGTGTTTCGACTGACAGAGTTCCATAACATTTTTACGCGTGTTATAAATAGCTTTCGGTTATTTGTAAAGTTGGGGAACAGTTGAGAGATCCTAGCTATAGATTTTAACAGTGATTCTTACTTTTATGACCCTTCCATGGAGTGCAAGGCACGGCTGTAATGATGAAAAACATGGACTGAAATCTCGTCGCGGTTTTATACCAAGAGAACTATCGAGAGATGCGGCGCGGCATCAGTACGAGACCAGTATTGCCGATAGAACTGAAACGACCTTGAGAACTACCAACTGAGGGCAGAACATTAATTTTTGTCGTTACTCCCGAAAATAGTTTTTTCTAATTATACAGGGAAAGAGCAGTGCTTACCACCGTGCTTGTTGACGGCCTATGTCCCTTTTCTGCTCTTTATATATGCTACTATGAGTTTTTAGCACGATTGAGTTTAGACCAGTTCAAATTGAAAACGTTGAAATTTTACCCAGAGCAGAAAAGGGCTACAATTAGCAACAACCCTTAACTCAGTAGAATCCATGACTTGACTACATGTAACAATCTTCTTAAAGAAAGAAGACTGAGAAGAACAACTTTGCTTTTAACGGAAAGAAAAACAGCATTAATTGCTGACAACTAAATTGACACAAGTTCGTTTACTGAGTGTTTCTCTATATTTAAAACAAACAATGGAAATTCGGCTTTACAGTAGGTTACCATTTGAATGAACCACCTGTGTGGAAATCTTGTATAATTCATATAAAAAATGAAACTATAAAATTTGACGTGTCGAGAGAACGGCCCGGTTAAGTCCCTGGCCTCAAGTTTAGCTGTCTTACGCGGAGTCGGTTTGGGACTACAGGAGACCGGCTGAAATTCAGCTATCAAGGTCCGTTTCAGACGCCGAACTTAACTTTTTATGAGCTAAATTCAATAGGAGAAAAATGGTCTCTAAGTTAAACTGCTTACAAAATACGTGATAATGATTTATGCATTAAGTTCGGAACATGAAAAGATCAGCCTCTGAATCAAAGCAGCTCCAAAGCCGCTCCAAAGTCGAAATTCCCGGCCGGGCTATGCGGAAGGACGGCTGGGCCGTTCCAAATTGAAATAGGCGTTTACACTGAACTTTTCATGTACTTAATTCAATCCATTAGCTGGCCGTCGAATGCGGATTTAGAAATAAAAACAGGATGTTCAGTCCTTTCCGCGCGCTTTTGCGTTCTCTTGCTGTCGCAGGCCAGTAGGGAGCCAACCTCGTCCGCAGGGCGCTTTTCCCTGGCTTTGAGGTGGGGCGAGAAAGCGCCCTGGGACGTGGTTGGTAGGGAGCGGGGCGGGGGGGTGAGGGATATATTAGAATACCGGTAATGCTAGTCTTAGGATTGGAGTGCGATGATGCTATCATTTCTCCCTTTGCGGGTTATAACGTCATTTGCTATCTAGGAAGCAGCGGTACTTTTAACTTTTGTTTTGTTTTTGTGGCGAAACAGTGCAACCGTTTTCACTGGCTTAATGTTGACCTTACGCATTTAACAGCTTATCAAGGATCTGAAAAATTCTCGTTGCCCAAATGGCTGCTTAATTAAAGAAGGTTTGAATGGGGTTTAGTGTTTAGTGTTATTTGCCCATAATTTTCAGTATTTGCTGTTAAATTGGCCAATTTTTTAATGTTTGCTGTTTCCGAAGAACCGTCTGTTAAGTGTTTGGAGAGTTTGTTGGACATCCTCGGCAATGGTCGGACCGCTTCGTTAGTCTTCCGTAATCTTTGGCAGTCTTTGAGAATCTTCGGTAGCCTTCAGAAATCTTCTGAAATAAATTGTCGTAAAAATGATGGCCGAAAACTCCTTGATATACTAAACAAAATAATATTGGCCTCTTTGGAGCCGTTTTGCTTCTTTCTGGAAAAAATTTACTTTTTCAAAGAATTTTTTACTGTTAGTGTTAAAATGCCTAAAACTGATTTAACTGTTTCATGTTACAAAGGCAGAAAATGAAGTACGTGTTTAGTGTTATCGAGGTACCCACGTTCAGGCCCAGCCTGAATTTCATACGATTACTTCGTGTTGTTATTACTCCCTCAGTGAGAGGAGAAAACGACTCGAAGCAATCGGATGAAATTCAGGATAATTCAGACCCTCCTTAAAAGCAAATTGCAGGACCCAAGGGGTGGATCTGGCATCCTTTTTTCCTGAACGAGATGAAGGTAGCATTGTTCCTTTTTTGTGTGGCCCGTTGTTTTTGAGGATAGCTTAAAAAAGTAGTATTCGCGGCACAGTTTTGATCTGCTTCTGAGAAACGCCCAAGGAAGCTTGAACTTGGCGCACTGTTGAAAGGTCAGGATGATGCAAAGATAACGTAAAGTAGCAAACTAGCGACTAATACAGATTTACAACTCTCTTTACAAACTGATTCCCCACCCCTCCCCCCCACCCCTTGGCTGAGACTTGCGCCTCTGACATCGTTTGGTCCGTCTCCTCGTTGGATCGCATCTCCCCATAAAAAATCCTGGCTACGGGCCTGCGTCGCCTTGTAATTTCACACTCTGTCTAATGTGAGACCTGAATGCCATGCTAATGATAAGTTTATAAGAAGAATTAAGAAAGGCTAGACCCATAAAAACAGCGATTTCAGTCACTGAGTGTAACGGAGCGAAGCTGCGCAGCGCTGATCTCCGGAAAGTGCAGTGTTACATATCGGAAAGGTTCTGTGCCTCACTTAGTTGTTGTGTCAACAGCTATTCGGACCGTAGAGAAAGTGAGCAAGGCAGGAGAGTAAATAGGACAGAAGTAAATATTCAGAAGTGGGGTGGAGATTTCCCCCCGGGGTGGAGATTTAGAGAAGCAAACCCTCTTATCCACCCCAGCACGATGTTCGATATGTGTGAACGACTTGCTCCAGTTCTGTGCCGTTGCTCCAAAATACTAAATCGCATAGCTTTTCCTGTCGGCACGAAAAACTATCCGGTGTAGTGTCTGTTAAACATGAGCATAGTCTTCAACAGGTACGCTATCTAGTACTGATAGGCTAATAGGGATGTGCCGCTGGATAGGCTCGCATTTTCACGACTGAATTGACTATAATGGGGTCGCACATTTCAGGGCCGTAGCCAGTATGAGGCGAACCGAGGCACTCGCCTCGGTAAAATTTTACCAAATACTGTCGATTTTTATTTTTTTTATCAGACTGATAATATTAGAAGATTTCATACGGCTGATTTCGTACAACGGACCGTGTGTTCGCCTCGGTTGTAGTTTCTTCCTGGCTACGGCCCTGCATTTTCGGAATTTTGTCGTTAAGAAAAGTTTGTTTCTTGGAGTTTGAAAAAAATGGTAAATTCATTCTAGGATGACTGACAGACCGGTATAAGTGTGTGCAAAATGGGGTCTATAATTGGCGGCTAAATAGACTCAATAATTGGGTTGGAGTTCTGAGAGGCCAGAGAGCACATACCCTGCAAACGTTGACCCAAGTAGCCCCACGGGCACTATACTGGATATTGCGGCTAAGCTTCGCTCCGTCACAAAAATCGCGCCGAAATCACTGTTCTTATTATGTGTGTACAGAAGTCTACCCTGGCTCCAGAGGGTAGCTACCTGAACACACGGTACGCACGTGCGTACCTGAAAAAGTCGTGCACAAAAATAAATAAAAATAATAAATAAATAATAATGATTAAATAATAAAAAAATATAAAGTTAATTCTAAAAAGAAAGCAAAATATCTAAAGATAATTATTTTAAGAATAAAGTTTGCCTCAATTCATGGTTGCTTCTTTGAAATATATATCTTTTTCTAAAACAGCGAACTTTTTTTTCCTCTCCATCCAATTGTTGTTTTCGGATTCTTGGCATCCTAAGAGGCCTGAAACGCAGTCAACACACAAATAAATGTAACAAAATACTAAAAGGAAAGATTTAATGTACGTTTGACTTTCGCTCAATTATGGAGAAATAGGATAAGTTTCATGCAACGTCTTATAACTGTTGTCGTATGAATAATGAATTAGCTAAGTAGGATAATGTTGTTCAGGGCTGTCATAGTAAGCTTGGGCTATCTGTGCGTAGACATATTAAATTCTGCAAGCAGAATACGTCAATACGTCACGTAGTACGGTCTGCATTGCAGTATTCTGCTTGCAGAATTTAATATGTCTACGTTATTATTTTTGCTGATCAGGACTTTATAGATCGTACGTTCTTCGGCATACTCGTTTGCAGTCCTTTGCGGTTCCTTGTGGTTACTGTTTGTACCATATGGATAAGTTGGACAAATTGTTTACACTACAAAACATTGCGAATTTACAAGGCATGGGATTCACTTTAGATTTCGGATTCAAAATCTATAGAGACTTAAACAAATCGGCACTTGTTCAATTCAGATTCACACATCTGCTTAAAAACGACCCAACGAACCCAGTGACAAAATTATCTATTATCATCTAATTATTTTTCGGAAGTGGGGTGGGGTGCAAAGCGATTTGGAGAATTGTGCGTACCTCTGAAAAAATCCTGGCTACGCCCCTGGATGAAAAAAGGTATCCTGTGGAACCCAGGGTAACAGAAGTCCTGTCCGGTATGGCGCAAGTTGGGGAACCACCTTGCAAGGTATTCCTATAGTCCTATGTGGGAGGGTGTGTCTTTCGTCTTCCTTGCCGCCATATTGGAAAACGAGAGGACCCTGGGGGCAAGGATGAAGAGGAAACAAACATGGCGGGTCCGAAAGGTGTTTGCCCAAGTTTCTTCAATCTTCCGTGGGAAGACGTGATTTTTCTACATATATTTCCTCATTTTAGTATACAACAGCTCTTCAAGTGCAGGCGGGTTAGCAGATTTTTCCGAGAAGTTTGCGATTCGTATTTCGCTTGGCAAAGAAGTCTAGATTGCAGTGAAGTTTCTTCCCGCCTCACAACAAATGCATTTTCTCTGTTAACTAAAGCAAGTTCGTCTTTACAGCTGGTGGTTTTGAAAAACTGTAAAGGCTGGCTGGATGAAGCTTCCCTCGTGGAAGTATTAAAGCGAAATCCGCGAATTAGTGAGTTGGATTTGACTGCATGTTCAAGTTTAACAAATTTATCCCTATTTACATTGGCGGAGTTTAACTCCGGATTAAGAGTAATTAAGTTACGTGAGTGTCGCTGGGTTTCATCGGATGCTGTTATTCAGTTATCGTTATGCTGTAATGGCCTACAGCATGTCGATCTCACAGGCTGTTGGGAAGTCACAGATTCTTGCGTATCGTCTCTTGCCTCTTGCTGTAATGGATTGCAAACTCTTCTCCTCAATGATTGTTACAGCGTCAGCGATAATTCGGTTCGAATTGTCGCCAATTCATGCCCTAAACTGTCCCATCTCGGATTGAAGGGGTGTTGGCGAGTCTCTAATACCGCTATAAAACTGATTGGAGAATACTGTCCTTATCTGGACACGCTGGAAGTCAGGGATTGTAGAGATATTTCTGAGGCTAGTTTAGCAAGGTTAAGATTACGTGGAGTAAAGATTGATGTCGGCAAAACCAAGCGATTAAGATTACATGCCGGTCTCTATGGATATGTAGAACATGATGATTGGCAAATACCAGTGGTCAACTTGAACATTTGAAGACTTGCACTTCCTTTACCTTGCGAGAGCAGTATTTTCCCACAATTACACCTAGGAACAGAGATTTCAATAACTTTCTCCACATTCAGCTGCTTATGGAGGAATAGGCAGTAATAACTAGGAAAGGGGCTTTAAGATCCCTTTTCTCAAAAATCTTAATAAACATCATTAAGAGGAGCTATGGGCAGCGGTAGACCACCGGTTACAGAACCAGCTTTTATTGAAACTTAAATAGCCCAGCTTGCTTCCAGTCCCACCATAGCTCAGTGGTTAAAACACCCAAGTTGTATTTTGTAGGTCATCGGTTTGCATACCGTCAGTGACCTAGACTTGCCACAAGTGAATTCGATCCCACAAGTCTTATGGCAGAAAAGCTGTAAAGCAAGAAAAGTGAGCATTTTAGGACAAAGGGCAAATTTCTTTTTGTGTGTCTGTTCATGGAGGAACAATGGTAAATTCAGCCATGCAGCAGGAACTTGTTGGCTCTGCTTTTCCAACTAATGAGTGATTGGATGGATAACAAAAATAGTAGACGTACACTAAGTCGACCTCTCATGAGTTCTAGGTTGATAGCAGTCTCAAAAGCAAGAGAAGCAAGCTCTGATGAGGTCGCACAATGACCAAGCACGGCCAAGTGAGTCACAAGGTTGGCTTGTTTCACCTGAATGGATGTGAATCACATAATTAATTCACACACAAGTAAATGATTGACATATGCTTTGTGAGGAGTGGCATCAAACATCTTCTATTTCTCTTGAAGAGAACAGCACACAGCAAAAACAAAATATGGATTGACAAAAACCTCAGTCTTCTATTGGTCATGATGTCATCACTTGTTTTTGCCCAGTAAATTTGGTGCAAAAAGTCCTTTAGAATGGCCCAACCAACCAAAAAAATAAACTAAATAAAAGGACTTTGAGAAATTCTGTCAGTGACCTTGTATCTTTTCAATCAATTTGCCACACTGACAAGTGCTTCTGCAAGCATTCATGACTGTTTTGACAGCGAACCTTTATTACTACCCTTTTCAAAGGAAGGAAGGTAAAATAACCAAACAGGGAAGTCAGAACAGTCATGTGGGCTATACAAAAATTTAAAAGTGAAAAATTTTCAGGTTGCTTTACCGTGTTTAGACCTGGAGTAGTCTCCTATTATTTTTCTTTTGAGTCATGATACATCATGAGCATGTGTGATAATTAGATAGATAGATGTTTGTTTATTTTACCCAATTGCAGCATTGACTGAATTGCTGGGTAGGCCAGTAATAAGCATACATGATATGTTAATATTTGAGTGTAACAAAATCATTAATTTTAGTCTTCAGTCCGACCCCGACCAAGTACAGGTCTCGGATTGTTGGAATGAAGAGAGTATTCACACATAGTACGTGGGAGAGGGGATAACTTTCCTGAGGGCTGGATGTTGCCGTGCATTTACGATAAACCTCTGATAGGCAGCAACTCTGCCTTTAAGTGTGTCTAGGCTTGCCATTGCTAAGGCATCAGCAGACTCTGTCTTACCATAAATTGAGGAGCAAGAAGAGAGGCCGCGAGAAACGAGGTCCCCTAATTTGCATAACTTTACTTTTTCACTTGCTGCACGAGCCTCTGAGGAAAGAATGACAACTGCTTATGGTCTACTAATTGTTAATTACAATCAGAATGCTTTTATTTCTCTGGCATAATAAGAAGTAATATGCTCAAACCTTAACACTATTGGCTGCTCTTTATCAAATAATATTCTTCCAAGATACCTAACTAGATACTAGTTATTAACCACACTGAACTCAAGAGTCGGTGAATATATTTTGAAAGAAGTTGGACAACATTTGACTCTTTCATTAAATAACAGCAACACATGAAAGAAGAAACAAAAAATGTCATCCTTGAATTTGTGAAATTCTTATTAGCAGTGCTCTTCCTAACTTAAAGGAACTGACTGTCACACAATTTAGCCAAATTAAACTGTTAGGATCTTATGGCCACTAAATCAAGTCAAAGCATTCTTGAAAGAAACACTTCAGTAAAAAATAAAATAGAAAACAATGGGTTATGGATATTAGATTTTGTGTTTTTTCTTTCAGTAAATTTATGTTCAGCCTAACAGTTTTTCAGTGTTTGTCATTTTATAGAGATTTTACTAAGATCTGTAAACAAAATAGACTAAATTGCTGTGACGTAGTTCTTTTGAATACATACAAGTAAAACAACATAATTTTGTAATTGCCAATCTTAGTTTTCTAGTGAAACTTTTAAACTTCGGGTTTTAATGCATAGCTTGTGCCTTTGTTTTACTTTTCTTCACTTTTTCACTGTTTTAGCAAGTAGAGTTTGGAACTTAATAAAAGCCAAAGACACTCCCTTTTTAGTTTAATACCAATGATTTCCCACTTGAAAAACCATTTGAAACAAAACTCCTCCTGGGTTGGTCAATAATGATGGAGCATTTAAATAAACACATCTGTTTTATTTGTTGATTGATGCATTTATAGTTGAGAGCATACTAGAAATTAGTAGTTTCTTGGTGTTGCGGATGAGCATGATCACTAAATGTCCTAATACAAAAGATTGAAAGACACTGTCACTGTGAATAATACCCCCACCACAACAAACAAGCCAACCAAGAATGGTTTCCATAACACCAAGGAACACCATGGAAAGTTAACATTTTCACACTGAATGCAATGTACATAGATATTACAAACTTTCTTTTTCAAAACAAAGACGGACTTTTCCTTAGTGCAGGGAAACTCAATGTTTAATCTTTCATCACAATAATTGTTATGATTTTGTGTTATTTCACTATTTCTGTAGCTTAGGGAGGTAAAAGATTTTTTGTTAAGGTTGCGTGATAGGAAATTGGTAATACATTTCCACTTATTTTTAAACATAAGGATACAGTGATTGGTTACCATTTGCAAAACATAACCCTGTTCAGGTAGATTTTGTAACTGGAACTGATCTAATTTGCGCAAATGCTAAACAGGTTCTGGAATGAAATGTACCAGTTCTGTATTTTTCTTACCATTTGCTTAAACTGTGAACCAACCGGTTTGTGTGTAAATAGCAAACAACCTGAGTATTAATAACATATCTGAGGATTTAAGGAAAAGTCATGTCTGGTTCCACTATGCCTTCTTGGAGGCCCTGCCAGGGTAAATTCCGACAAGGGACATGACCCTTCGAAAAAGTAGTGTCAAAGCGTAAAATGAAATCGCGACATGAGACAACTTCTCTACGCCAAATTGTGACAGTGATGGCAAAGCAGAGAATAAGTGACAAAGAACTGTTGTTTGGCTAATTTATCACCAGGCTGAATGCTAAGAAGAACTAATTTTCGTCAATTTTCCTTGCGCTTCAGAAAACGTCTCTTGTCAGTGAGCTTCAGTGGACCCTCCTGTGAATTGTGTTAATTGTGAATGGCGATGTATTGGTGTTCGATACAGGAAATGTTGACTGAGAAATTGCAGAGCTGTAATGGTTTCTTTACAACGCATCGCCATCCCCCTTTGCTAAAATTCCAACAAAGACAAAGAATTTTTGTTCAATTTCCAACAATAACTTGAGGCATTTATAAACACCACCCACCGACACAAGACGTTTTAAAATTCAAACAAGCGACATGGGACCCCAACCCCTGGCAGGGCCTCTTCTTACTACAAGAAGATATTCCTAAATAAGCCCACATTCTAATACAATAACAATAGAGATCTCCTAGGTGAGGCTTTTCCTATTATTTTTGATATACTGGTAAAGACTCTGATGCTGACACAGCTATTTACAAATTGTTCTCCAAAGAACATTTTAAAATTTAAATTACAATCTGGATAAAATATCTTCATGGCTGTTATTCTTTGCACTTTTATCTGACGGTAGACTGCCTGTGCCTTGAAATAGTGACATTTTCCTGGAAAAAAAATAAAATAATGGGCAAAGTATAGTATTCTTATCAACACAGATTATTACAACATACAGCCGCATCCTTATGGTTTGCTACACTCCACTATTTCCCTCTTCTCAAAAGCCAACATTTCTAAATTGTTATTTGATTTAGATTGGAAGATGAAGGACCACTTTGTAGATGTACTACCACTAAATTATTATTTATTTATTATCTATCTACTTTTTAATAAAATGATTAGGGTCTGGCAAAGGGGCTGGGGCCCGTTTCTCGAAAGTCCTGATAATTAACGGGCCCGGTAAGCTGTCTCCGTTTACATTAAAGATCGAGGTCTCAATAGTTTTGCATCTAACACGATAAAACTGTCAGTTAATGAAACAAAATGGAGTGGTTTGCTGGCCAGGACCCGCGCTCTTATTGTTTATATTTTGATTTGAATATTTGATTTTGCGCCTGTAAAGTTACCGGGACTTTCGAGAAACGGGCCCCTGGCCACTTTGAGAAGACTTCAAAGATTTTAAAGCTGACCCTCCAGCCTTTTTAGAAATGACCCTACATAAATTTTACATATTGTGAAACTGTGACCCCCAATATTTACTAAAATGACCCTCCAGGTGATGTTTCCTTATCTGAAAATGACCTCCAAAAAGTAAAACCAATCAAGGTTTTGAAAATGACCCCCCACCAAAATGGCCACTCAACTTCCCCCCCACACACCTCCTCACAGGAATTAAATGACTAGCCCCAAAGTTATACCACATACCGTAAATCCCTGATTAGGCCCCCCCGCTCAAATAAGCCCCCTCCCTCTAATGCCCCCCTTTCAGGGGAAGAAAGTTAATAAGCACCCCCCCCTTTTTGTTAAGGCCCCCTCCCCTCCCTTCACTTATTTTTCTTTGAACACTAATATTAAAATGATAGTCTGTATTATTCAATCACGACTGTAAAACTTCGTGTGGACTGATCAGGGATGGTTTATCTACCAACTGGAAGTTCAAATTCCTCGGCTGCATGACCTTCAACCTTCCTGTTCTTGAGCTTCTCCACTCTGAATTCTAGTTCTTTATGGAGAACTGATACCATCTTCTTTTGTAAATTAA